GGTTTTTTTAAGTTACCATAGATCTATGCCCAAAGTATTAGCGACTTTCAGGAAATAATTAATATATTGCTTTAAAAAAGGTGGTCTTCTGTATTGTTTCTTCCTGTTTGTTACCGTGAGAGAAAAGAACAAAGTTTCATGAATCCAGGTTCCAACTATAAGTATTGAATTCGAATTGTCAAATTCTTTTACGTGCACGTCAATGCGTAAACGGGACCTGTATTGTTCGTTCCATCCGAACGACTAGGCACTGTCTTTTGCCAGAAACTATATCCTGCGCAGCTGAAAAGCGGATACGATACTGGAAAATCACTGAGACGTTCTCGACCATCTGGTTAATGAACCAGTGACTTCAATCACTGGACCACTTTTCACAGAATATTGTATAGGATGAAGACATTTGGTGAACCTTAGCCAAAGAAATAAAACGAACGGACTTATTGTGCTTCTGAGATAAGCGACGGAGAGGAGATGTTCCGTTTTCCTGTAATATAAAATCTAACAGTTAATGGACTCCAATAGTGAATCAAAGTTTATTTAATTATCAGAAAGAAAGTTTGCTAAGATTGTGTCCAATCTTGTTTACTTTGGTCAACGAGTTTCTGAGTTCCAATGATTCCAATGGTCAGATAGTGAATATTTGTTCTGGGTGTCGATGACACATCATGTATTAAAAGAAATCCAATAAAGACAAGAGAAGGTTATAAAACCACGGTCTAACCTAAAGATGCGAGGTCTTTATTATTATACGTAGTTTATAGACTGGGGTAAGATGATGGCGACTAGACGTAGTTTATGGACTGTGGTAATATACTTGATAGATTTTAAATTAGAGATCGTGATTTGTTCTGAACCCGGGTCAAATTACATAGACAAAAGCTATAAAAGTTTTGACCACCTTTCGACAAGAGTTGATATTAATTTAGGATAAACAGGGTTTTATTACAGCGTGAAGATATTGAACATTGAAACGTAATCACCATAATATTAATACACTGTAAAGAATGATGAGTCATGACCAATTATTTCAGTCGTCGATAGGCATGGCTCTCTGGCCTACTCCCAAATCGCAGCTCAACTGTCAAGGGTTCTTTTGCGTGCACACCAATGTGAACACGGAACTTGGTTTTTCCCCATATCTGAACGACTAGACATCCTTGTGTATTTGTCACTTATGGCAGAGTTTATTCCCAGAAATCTGTATTTTGTCTTACACGAGGCAGAAAATATTTTTTTGTCATGGCTACCCGATATATCTCCGCACGTTTCACTGACCATATCCATGTGCTATTTATTACGCTACTTTGTAAATGTGTCTTTATGACCTTTAAATTTGAATGACCTCTAGGATCATCGGTGCTATATTTTCTTTGGTTGTCCAATAATATGATTTTTATGAAATGAAATAGTTTTGGTTTTTTTCATTTTTATTGTATGTTTTGTTGAACTTAGTTATATATCTATTTTGTGGTCGGTTTGATGTTTTTCTCTGTTGCTGGTAGTGTTTTTTTATAGTTTTATTGTGGCGGGGGGGGGGTGGTATGTAGTGTTTTTGGGGGGAGCTGGGAGGTCCTTTTTTTAGGTGTGAGTTGGTTGGGTGGGGGGCTCTTGTTTGTTTACTACAGTGTTAACTCTGACTACTTGGGGGGGGGGGGGGGGGATGGCTGAATGGTTAGTGTGTGCACGCTGTATCATAAAGTCTGTCACTGAGTCAACTGGCGTGGTTTCGAATCCCCGGTTGTACGTGACAAGGAGTAGGGTCGCCTGTCCAACCTCGTGGGTTTTCTCCGGGTCCTCCGGTTTCCCCCACTGCTAAAGACCCCTACGCGGAAGCGATTTATTGAAATAAAATTAAACCATATGTTAGTCCAGAAATGACCTAGTTTGTGTCGAGTGGACGTTAAACTCCATTTCTCTCTCTCTCTCTCTCTCTCTCTCTCTCCCCCTCCTCTCTCTCTCTCTCTCTCTCTCTCTGACTACTTAGGAATAACACGCCATTAAATCAAAACTTGCACCAAATGACCATTTCTCTTACAGACAAAAAAAAAACCCTTCTCTCTAGAGACATTTATATCAATCATTTAAACATCGGATTTCAGCAACTTTTTATATCTTTCAATCCACTTTTATTGGCACAATTTGTCAAATGGAATTAAAACCCCTTATCTTGGCGGGTTGGAGAGGCCATTGAGCTGTTCAGACGCTGGAACATTGCTGGGAAAAACTACAACTTGATGACGACTCAGCGATAAAATAAATCATCCACTGCATTTCTCCAAATAAAACTGTAGATAATTCTTGTGTATTTGACAATTTAGCGATTTTATCAACTCGTCAATAATCGATGAATTTATACTGGATGGTGTTTTATGCTCAAATCAGTAAAGTTGTCAGACGTTAAGTGCAAGTTTTCTTGCTTGGATTCCTTGTCCGTCTTAAAAGATGTAATGTTGTCTAATGAATATATTTTAATTGTAAAATCTGTAGTCATTAATATCGATAGGGCATTGAGGTTGTTCATTCTGAACGTCATAAAACAATCCCTATGATAAAATCTGGTCCAATATCCGTCTTCATCGGTGCAGCAAACTAGGACGTTAAACCCCATTTCATACCATTTCTGGTCCAATATTGTGTATGATCAGTCTGCCAAAAGATAACAAAAATTACAAATGTCGGTACCATTGACCTGCTCTAGGTAAAAGAAGTAAATGAAATGAAATGGAACTTAACGGGCCACGTTTGTCCCCTACTGGAGTAATTAAGACGGGAATAATCCATACAATGTAATGTGAGTGACCTTTGTGGTTTCTCGTGTAGGAATCTTTAGCAATGGGGAAACCAGGAGAACCCGGAGGTATTCATCGTTCGCATAGAGAGGGGGGGGGGGTATTGTCCACTCAACATAAACTAGGTCATTTCTGGACCAATATACGGTTCAATTGTATTTCAATAATTCGCTTGCGCGTAGCGGTCTTATGGGAGGAAACTGGAGGACCCTGAGAAAACCCACGAGGTTGGACTCTACTCCTTGTCACGTACAACTGGAAATCAAAACCACGCCAGTTGACTCAATGAAAGACCTAATGATACAAAGCGCACGCGCTAACCATTCGCCCCCCCCCCCCCCCGATAGATGAAATGGTATGAGGTTTAGCGTCCTAAGGACCTGGGACGAAAGGCGTTGGCGAACACGTTAACAGAATCCTTGGCAAAGTGTGCGGACAAAATGTTCTTCATAGCCCAATTCATGGCGTATACCCGTCTTCAATAGCCCGGAGAGTCGAGAACAACTCTCCCGCCAAAAGTCAAAACATAGTAACTCACTTTTTTATCAAAATTTAGTTCGTACCAAAATTGTAGTTACTAGGGTATATGTGCTTCCTGTTGTTGTACTAGATATTCCAATCTTTTGATTTTGTAAGCAGTTACACCCATGACACAACCTAGCAATTTTCTTCATTTGCGAAGTATGCCACAGAAAAACCTAGTAACTCAATAGTCAAATCAATGGATAAGCTGGAGTTTAATATGCATTCATTACGTTTTCCTTTGTTTTCTCAAAATAAGAAAAATGTGAGTTACTAGGTCTTGCCTTTTGACGGGAGATTATAGGACGTTAAACACCATTTCGTTTCAGTTTGTTAGATTCTTCACCAAGGAAGTATTGCGAGAATCTGTCGTTGTTCTCAGATTTGTTAACTCTAAGATTGAATAATCAGTGAAGGATATAGACAATAACTGCTGATCAGGGCTGTTAATTCTGATGGATAGACGTTGATAGAGGAAATAAAATAAATATTGCTTTTTATTCCCGCATTATCGATTCTATAGTTCCGACCTAAGACAAGAGATTGTTGACCCAATCACAAGGCGTGTTAAATACCTCTATGACCCAATCAAAACGAGTGTTATATACTGTCTAGACCGATTAGTTTTGCTTGGTTTGTTAGATCATGGTAACCCAGGTGACCGTAGTAGGCCATCGTAGATATATTCATGTAGATGTATGGATATTGTCTTTGGGAAACTAATATAAATACAGATGATATTGTAATAGTAAAATACATGTTATATAATAATGGTGTTCTGGAACGAGACTGGAACGAGCTAAAAACAAATCTGGAATCTGGAAGGTGTTACGGGTGGGACAAAAAAAACACAATGCCAGTAAAACAAATCATCACAATTTTAATTTAGAAAAGAAATAAAAAGCGGAAGTGGCGTTCTCGGATCACGTTTACCCATCAAAATCGATAGCATAGAATCCACGTGCATGTCCCGTCTCTCTCTCTCTCTCTCTCTCTCTCTTACTCTCTCTCTTACTCTCTCTCTCGCTTTCTCTCGTTATTGGCGGATAGACTCACGGAGACTGTTTTAAATCCGATTCAATCCGAAATCGGGAGATGAGCTATCGTTGAAATCTTGATTTTGTTTTCATAATTAAATGCAATCTGTTTTACAGAGTATTACGAAAGTTTTCTAATATCTCTGTAAAAGATAACTGCCTTCAACACATGACGTCATATCACGCGGCGTCAATCATTGGCTCGATGGTGCGTGCATTGTTTACATAAAACGTTACTGTTTCGAGCAGAATGGCGCCTTTTACTCATTTCAGTACCCATTTACACTAAAATACGAAATCATTTTTACCTACAAATACTTCAAACGTCTTTATTTATTTTTCTAATACATAACAAACATGTTTTAGAATTTAATTTGTCGGAGGAAAAAAGTTAATATTTCTGGCTCATTAAGTCGCATCGATGTCATCCTTATCAGTGATTGTCGCGGCCTAGCGAATATTCACTGCGGATCAGTGTGAATTAACGTCATAACGAACATTTTGGTATAAGCGGTTACCAATAAAAAATTCAATATACATAACCCTACAGACTAATATATTTTTCGTGGATTAATCCCTCGAAAATTTGATATATTTTAGCGAAAATTACAAATGGCTAATCATTACTGTAATCTGTGTTTTTGTTTTCCAGCGATGCCAAGATAAACTCAATTCCTTGGCTGTCAGTGTGATGAACAACTGGAAAGGAGTTATGTTACGAGTGACGGAAGCGTGGGATGATAACAATTCCCATGCTAAAGATTCCCTCCATTACGAGGGACGAGCTGTTGACATAACAACGTCAGATAAAGACAGGGCTAAATATGGTATGTTAGCACGTCTGGCAGTAGAAGCCGGTTTTGATTGGGTGTATTATGAATCACGTGGTCATATACACTGTTCAGTAAAATCAGGTAAATATGGCTTTTTTTATAATTATGGAAATATTAATTACAGTTGTTTACCTTAAGATTCCAGTGGCGTATAGAATAAAACTACCTCAAGACCAAACATAACCACGCCCCTTTGACAGCATCTTTCGCCGACATTGCAGTTTTCAGTGACATTTCATATATTCACCTGGCGGAATTTCTTAACATTAATGCCATCTTGTTCATTCTAAGGACGTAGAGGGCGTCCAGGTATTAAGGCAATGGCGAGTTAAAGTATAAGTACCCTAAATTATCTATTTTAAAAAAGGGTTCAATTAATATATTTAAAATTTGTACGAAACATACTATGGCAAAATGAAACACTGCAGTATACAGGTGTGTACGGTGGGGGCGGGGGCTATAAACAAGAATTCTAACATATAACAGCCCTTATGTTACCTTCAGGACCCTATGAGATCATAATCCTGTTCTTGCACAGTAAAAAAAATCAAGAAGAGTAGGAAACATATTATGGCAAAATGAAACATTGTATACGAGTGGGGGCGGGTGTGACTATAAAAACGAATTCTAACATATAACAGCCCTTATGTTACCCTCAAGACCCTACAAGATATTAATCCCACTCTTGCGCAATAAAAAAGTATCAGAGGTGATACATCCGACGTAATAGCTTGCTCGTGCTCTTTAAATATGAATATGTCTTTCAATCATTGAAAAACAAACCATGTCTGCGGTTAAAAGGTACCCAGAGTTCAAAAGGTGCTATTCACGCACTGCCTGTGAAAAAGCCCAAGCCCAGGTGTGTCAGTTATAAACTTTAACACCGTTAGATGTCGCTTCAACACGTGACAGCGCCACTGTCGGCAGTTAATATTAAAAGGTACGGTGATTGGGCGATAATGGGCGATATGAAGGCTATTAAACATGGGATTATTTGGGTATTATTTGATTTTCTTTAGGGGTCAAATTTGCGACCTCCGTTACAATTAGTTTATTGACAGTGTGTCTCATGTTTCTGCGCAAGAGTTGACGATTAATTCGGCATAAAGAGATTGAAAGGGCGTGTTGAGGGGGCCCTGCCGTTACTTGTTGACACAGGGATCCGATATCTGTGGCGAGTAAACAATATGGCCGATCGAATAAAGAACATGTTTTATTTTTCTTTATATCCCAGTTTTTACCTCCGTAAATATACAATAACTGTTAAATACGTGAAATAATAATATCATCTCCGCTTGATTGTCAAGGTGGTTCGCTAAAACGCCTTCTAGAACACGCCTTCATTTTCTTTTTCCTTTTAGACTCTATATTGTACACTTTGCTTAAAATACAGATCTATATTTCGTTTCGTTTTTTTATACTTTCGATGGCCTACACTACATGAAGATTTGACCGGTTGTAACGATAGGTCGCGTCTAAAGTCATACAAGCGGCTTTTGACCCTATGACTCTAGACATTTGGTTAACCAATCAGCGTTGATGTTTCTAGTGTTACTCGCCGTAACAGTGAGACTAATCCCTCACTTCAACCAGAACGCAGGTTATATAACAACTGTTCCAGATCATAGTGTAGTAAAGACAAGTAAAACAAAAATTTGATCTATAAAAAACGAAACGAAATAGGATCTGTGCTTTAATCAGATTGCATGATTAAATGAGGTTTAACGTCCACTCGACACAAACTAGGTCATTTCGGGACTAACCCTTGGTTCAATTTTATTTCAATAATTCGCTTGCACGTAGGTGTATTTAGCAGTGGGGGAAACCAGAGGACCCGGAGAAAACCCACGAGGTTGAACAGGCGACCCCACTTCTTGTCACGTACAACCGGGGAATCGAAACCATAAAACTTACATAATGCACCTGTAATGTAAAGATTGGTGCTGTTATTTAATTAAGACCTCCATGGAAAATGCGTTGGATTGTCCGAAAAGATTGTGATGGCCATAGTTGTCGTAGATAAATTAACATGGCGTTGCGAAGTCGTTAGTAACCTATGTCAACTTAAATTGATCATAAATAAAAAAATTTAAAAATGTTTGAATCAATGTTTCGTTTGAGTGTGCGTCGTCTTCATTCTGTCATTGAGTCAATTGGCGTGGTTTCGAGTGGACGTTAAACACCATTGACTATTTTTCTCACGCGTCGGCTTAAACGCTGTATTCTGGCCTTGCTCGTGGCATGTTGGGGTTTTAAAGAACGACCAGTTGGTGCAGAAAAGTAGGACATTAAACTCCGCTTCATTTAAAGAGCGAGAACGCGAACAGCCCGTTTAAATTTGCTGCTCATATTGATTGAAATTATATTCTGATTATGATAACCATCAACGAAAACAAGCAGTGTTGTTAATTAATTACTTAATTAACGAAGATCGCTAATCATTCATCAACACCTGATATGTAAACGATTTAGAAGCTGATCTGGACAGAATCCTTTGTATTTTTTCTGATTCAAATTGAAATCTAAACCGAAACATCTTGAATGTAAATGAAAGATTCCGGATTCAAATACCAAGCTACGAAACCATCTATAAGGTTACATGTTTGTATGGCAAACAGAAAAGACAAAGAAACACGCGCGGGTCTAGCGGTCGTCCAGGGAGTCCCGACCATCCCTGTCCAGACTCAATTTGGGGATCTGGGCACCGAAATGGCATCTGCCGTGTTCCAATTTTTTCAAATTTCCTGAGGGGGGCCCCGTCACCAAATCACGATAATATGGATATCTGAAATTTCGGGCCCCCAACCTGCTTAAAATCCTGGATCAGGTCCTGAGGAATGTTCTCCCTGTACTCTTCGTAATGCACAGTACCATGTCTACAAAACTGTAATCTTTTTTCTGTACTCGCATTTTAATATGGCAATGTTTTTAATGCATAGTGCCATGTCTACAAAATTGTAATATTTTGTCTGTGTTCGCATTTTAAAAGGGCGATTTTTCTTCATAATGTTCAGAACAGTCAAAAACACCATCTGCATTAGCCGAATCGGTGCAGACAAGAAATACGTTAAACCCCATTTCATTTTCGTACAAAATATAAATAAAACATTCATTATTCAAAAGCTACTCTGCTTATTGCATGTCTTTCTTTAGGCCTTAAATGTTATAGAAACTATTAATTAGACATTAATTAACATGACAAAACCATAATCTACACTCAGTGTCATCTGATGGGTCCGATTTTTAACAGATTTGAATCCGATCTGCGATTTAACGGCCGTTGATGGTTAACCGTAAAAATGGATAATCGAGACTTTGTTTATTATCGTAATAACGGTAGTAATGACAACTGAGGCTACCATGTTTTTAAAATGAGGATTTCTTGGCTCACAGTGAAGTAATTTGACTGAAAGTTTCAGCATATTCGCTTTACATTATCTATTTTTTTAACTGTTATAGTGCGAACTGCCAGCTCTTTATCCAATCATCCATAACACCACTTTAAACTATCTTGTCCAAGCTACAGTCGGTTATCTGTTGGGGCTTTTTTTACTTTTAATTCGGACATAGTGGTACGTCAATGGATGTTCCAACTACAACAAAGTTCAAACATTTCACGTAATGTTAATTAAAGTCTGAAACCATGTTGGGTGAATATTTCAGTAATTGAATAATTTAAAAAATGAAAAAGATCTGGAGCAACCTACAGATTTAATTTAAATACCTGAACAGGTAAAACACCCCTTTGGTGTAATGACATGAAATTGAAACGTCTACAATAATTTGTTGCATCGGTATTTTCAGTCCTACTGATCCCCAGTCTTCTGTAAATATCGCCTAAAAAGTAATGGTCAAAATGAATTGGGGTTTAACTTCCGACTGTTCTGCTCCGACTGGGCTAATGAAGACGGAGTAATGGCCAAGGAAAGATATGTTATGGATATGCACATGCTACAAATCGTGTCCAAAATTTAAATGATTTTATAACAAAGTGGCAAAATCATGGATAATTGACATTTTAACAAAACTCAATCTGATTAAAACACAGATCCTATTTCGTTTCGTATTTTATAGTTCAAAATTTCGTTTTATTTGTCTTTACTACATTAGGATCTGGAAGAGTTGTTATATAACCTGCGTTCTGGGTGGCGTGAGGGATTAGCCAATGAAACCATCTATTGCGGCGACTCCTTGGCGTGCGATGGACGGAACTGTGGGTAAACCACTAGAAACGTCATCGCTGATTGATTAATCAATGTCTGATGTCATAGGGTCAAACGCCGTTCGTACGACCTCTGACGCGACCTTTTACTACAACCGGTCAGATTTTCATGTAGTGTAGGCCATCGAAAGTATAAAAAAAAACGAAACGAAATATAGATCTGTATTTTTATCAGATTATAGGTTCTTGTTGTTGGTAACGCTTAAAGTATTTTTCGATACTGGGCGACGTTGACAAAATAAATCCACTCATGTCGGAGATCAGTAGACCACGATATTTTAGTCGCAGTAGTTCTAGAAGGCACGGAATTGCACTGTAAAAGTATATACGCAATATCGCAGTTTTTCTACACTCGGTTTAAAGTCGCTGGTCGTTAGTTGCATTTTTCGGACAATATTAAAATTCATTATTTAACATTTAATTAAGACATCTATAAAAAAAAATTCTGACATCGTCTGCAGATGACGCCGAATGTTCACAAATTTTCAATTTATCATAGCTTTGTCAATACGGAACGGAATTGAACCAGTTTGTACTGATATTCCTTTCAGAGATTCAACTTTCATAGAGGGACGACTGGTTAAATTGAAATGAAATGAAATGGGGCTTAACGTCCTACTGTTCTGCCCCAAACTGGGCTAATGAAGACGGGCATACGCCAAACAGTGTGCTATGAGGGAAATTTTGCCCGGACAGCGGCACTACGGCCTACTCTTATATCGAATTCCAACTGTCAAGGGATCTTTTACGTGCACGCCAATGTGTACACGGGACCTCGGTTTTTCGTCCCATCCGAACGACTAGACAGCTGTCCTTGTCAGGCCCTCGGTCCTGTATCGCTGACAAGGGGGAACCACGC